TTTCTATTAACTATTTATAAGATAATTAATTAATATTGTAATAATAGACTATGAATATTCTTCTATAATATAATATGAAATGGAAGTGTGATATTTACTTGTAAAGTTAATTTCCAGAATCTATGCGAAAGTCCATATATGAATATATCATCTGACCAGCATCTTTCTATGGCAAATATAATTGATTTACTGGCCGATAGTTTTAAAAATGTTGGATCTATGGGAAATAATACCAAATGAATCTTTTCAAAAAGATAATATAATAAAATATATAATATAATGTAAAAAAGTCTTATCTCCGTTTCTTGCTTACATTGTGTATCATTAATGTTGTCTATTAATACATCTAATCCTGTATTTAATACTTCTTCAATTTGATTTGAAATTTCTTTAAACCTTGGGTTAAGGGAAATAACAATTTAGCATACATTTTCAAAAAACCAATTCATCCTTTCACAAACCTCAGAACTCACCTTAATTGAAAATATACCGGCAATTGCCATCTTTTCATAAATTCTACATATGTAGAATGATTCCTTAGATATAATAACGATTTTTTGGAATAACACATACTTTCAATACTTGAAACAAAATTCATAGATATTGTGTAATTCTTTATTAAGAAATTTTAAATATAATTAATTAAATTTATGGAAATTTAAAATAATTTTTAAAGGAAAAATTTACCTTATGAAACACATTTGGATTTCCAGGATTGAATATGAAAGATAACCTTTGATTCACTGCATCCACAGCCTCTGTCCATACAGAATTTACCAAAATTTCAAAACCAGTTCCCTTTAAAATTTTTCTTGTAACTTCAAGGAGAATGCTACAGTCATTATTGATAAATTGTAATATCCTGTTATACATAAGAAATAAAGGCTCTTTTGAATAGGATGCCATAATACGATGCTTTGTCGTTTTTCTGGTAGGAGAGTATGATGAACGTGATGAAACTAAAACAGACGCAGGTGTAATTGGTTGAGGATTTTCAAGGACGGACCGTTTAACTGTCTAAGTCATTAACGCCATACAAAAATTATTAATAAATAATAAAAAAAGAGCTAAATATTATTTAATAAAAGTCAATTAATTTTACCTCTTTGATGAAAGGGGCAACTAATTCTGTTTTGATCACTTCTTCTGCAGACTTTGTTTGATCAATCAAAGCATAAGTCCTAAGAATTTGGGTTAATATTTCTTTGGATTGTGTTGTATTTGACTGATCCTTCACAAACTGTAATGCAGATCGAAGAGCGGAAGAAAGATTTATGCGAAGAGTATCTTTGATCCGTATAATTCTCTATATAAATTAATAATAATACTTAGAAAGTCGAAAATTATAATCTTCAATTATGTTTTTACATACCCAACCAATGTTTTCAACAAAGGGTAAATCTTTTCCCTTGTTGACCAAATATTGCATTTGATTGTATTCAATGGCTACGCGTTCAATTTGTTTCGCATTATTTCCACTATTAAATCAAACAAAAAAAAAACTGTTATCGATAAGAATGAATTGAAAATATTAATATTATATTATAAATTAATAATGTTTAAATAGAAAAAAAAATACCTATCATCCTTCGAAATAAGTGAAGAACCACTCTCACTACTAATCAATAATAAATTTTCAACTTTTCTTACCGATTCATGAATGTTAATAAGAAGTTGCAAAGAAGCTTTCTTTTCACGTATCGATGCCCGATAAGCCAACTGATTTTCCAGTGAATCAATAACACCTTGAAGTATCATTCGAACACCCTATAAGTGAAAAAAAAATGAGGCAAATCAATCACTTTTTCAACTCTTTATCTTAAACCGTTTTCACATACCTCAACTTCTTCTCTCATTTTACCCAAAGGCCTAGCAACCTCTTCGATAACCTTATCGACTCCCTTTAAATTCGTTGATAAATCCACAAAACTACTGTAATCTCTATTGATCATCTCCACTAATTCACTTTTCAAACTTTTTAAATGTGCAATCAACTCTTTCTTTAATTCATCCAATGGTAAATGACGTCTATTGGCCAAAAAATTATCAGCGTTAAATTCAGGTGTAGCAAACATTTCTCTATTTAATGGCTGTGGGAATGGTAAAGGAACTCCCGAAGATAAATGAGAGTTATCTGTTGAAGAAAAATTTGACCATGTTTTTTGTTCCAAATGTTCCGTCGTAGTGAATATTGTTAATGTAGATGAGCGTGAAGTGTGAGTAGGCTGGTTTTCATCGGGTTTTGAAGTTGTTTGTGTTGGAGTGACCATTTTGATATAATAATCGAGACTTAAAAGTGGAACATTTAGAAAAATAACGTTTGAAAATTGATCAAATGTTTTTATATGTTCGTGTAACAGGAATAGTATATATTGTATTATTTTTTCGTGTACCCGTAGATCTGATAAAAAAAAAATTTTTTATTTTTTTTCAATTTCAAAAAAATAAATGGCTAACCTAATAAGGCGCTCATTAACGACACAAGCGAAAAAATTAACAATAGGGTTAATACCAGCGGATGGTATCGGTAGAGAAGTTATCCCAGTAAATATTTATTAAGACTTTTACACGTGTTTTCTTTCAAAAAGTGAAATAATATGATTATTGAATAGGCTGCACAACAAGTTCTTAAAGCACTACCAACTGAGCTTGATAAACCACGTTTTAACTTTATACACTTGGACGCAGGCTTTGAGTATTTTCAAAAACATGGAACGGCTTTACCAGAAAAGACCTTGGAAATTTTAAAGAATGAATGTGATGGAGCATTATTTGGAGCTGTGAGGTAAGAGATTTTGATAGGTACGAATCACGTTATAGAACACGTTTCATATCTAAAAGTCTTTTCATAATTTAACAGTTCCCCGTCGCATAAAGTTGCCGGATATTCTTCGCCTATTGTGGCTTTGAGAAAGCATTTAGACCTCTACGCGAATGTCAGACCCGTTAAATCTGTCATATCCGATAAGGATATTAATCAAAAACCCATTGATATCTTAATCATTCGAGAAAATACCGAATGCTTGGTATGCCAACTTTACAAGATTTGAATTATTTTCGAACTCATCTCAAATATTAAAACAATTGTTTTATTATTATATAAAAGTATATTAAACAAGAAAGACAAGTCATCGACGAGGCGACCGGATTAAAAATAGCATGGGCAGATCGAAAGATATCCGAATACGCATCCAAGCGTTGTGGTAAAATGGCATTTGAAATGGCATTAGGAAGGAATGGGATCCGTCAAAACATACCAATGAATCAAAGGATATGGAAGTCAAAACCAAAAGTTACCATTGTGCATAAATCCAATGTATTAAGTATTACGGATGGATTATGGAGAGAAAGTGTTAGAAGCGTTAAAGAGAATAATCATAAATATGATGAAGTGGATATGGAAGAACAACTTGTTGATTCAATGGTGTAAGTAACGTGTAAAAATTGATAATCATAAATTTGGCGACTTATTCTCTCTCTCTCTCTCTCTAGTTATCGACTTTTTCGTGAGCCACAAGCTTTTGACGTTGTTGTTGCTCCAAATTTGTATGGAGATATTATTAGGTTTGACCGAATCTCGTCTTTTCTATAAATTCCTTTTATTGTCGGGCATGAATTTAAATTTCAAACCTCAATAATAGTGACGGCGCCGCAGCATTAGTTGGAAGTTTGGGCGTAGTTCCAAGCGCGAACGTTGGCGACACTTTTGTAGTTGGAGAACCAGGTATTTATCAAACAACCTGTAGTACTTCTAACTTTATGTAATTATTATTAACGATAGATTCGATTTCTACAGTACATGGATCAGCACCTGATATAGCAGGTCAAAACAAAGCAAATCCAATCGCAGCAATCCGAAGTGCTGGATTATTATTAGAGCATATAGGGTATCATAAACAAGCACTAAGTATTTATAACGCTGTAGACAATGTAATGAGGGAAGGTAATGTTCTTACGCCTGATCTGGGAGGTAGTTCAACAACTCAACAAGTCACGCAAGCCATTCTTAAATCACTTTAAGATATAAACAATTTAAAATTGGGGCATACATGCGTAGTGCTTATTAATGTAAAATGTTTCAAAAATAAAAATAAAAATATACAATATCTCGTATTTAATTTATTTTTTGATTTCTTTTATGCAGTTTTCGAATATTTTGATTTTAATTTTTTTTTTTTTTAAATGATTAAAATTATATAATCTTCACGAGATCGTCCCTTTTTATGTAGTATTGAGTCTTCGTGGTGGAATCACTTCATCTTTAACATTTTTGACACCACTCAATACTCTACCAGCAGATCCACCTAAATCAAAAAAAAAACCGTAAGTTTAATCGCAAAATAATATTCGCTTGGCATCCTAATGCAAACCTTCTTTAGGTTTACCCTCTTCATTTGTATTCTTTAGTCGTTCCGCTTCTCTTTTTTCAACTTCTTCAAGAGAAGGTTTTTCTAATGGCTTTTCAGATGGAATTATTTTATTCTCTTTTGTAATAGTACGTTCCATGTTGAATATATACTTAAAAAAGGGTGCTTTTTTTTAGTTGTGATTTATTTTAAACAAATTGAGTTCTCGGGCTCTTTTTATAATTTTTGGCGAGAAATTCTTAATTGTCATCATGATTTCATAATTATGTTAGTAAATCATTGTGACGTTATTATTTGAAAATAAATATTTAATCCAAAAAACCAAAAATAGTTAATTATTTCATATTACGTAATAACGATGAATCAACCGCAGTATAGGAATTTAACAATGGATCGATAAATATAAAGCATATAATTTTGTATTGTTATTTAAAATTTCTTTAGAAATTTAAAATAAAGATATAAATGTATTAAATAAGTCTTGATTTACAATGTTAAATGGTTCCCGATCTGATTTAATTTATTTTAAATGAGATGCAATTTTTGATTTGATTTTAATTTTTAGATTTTGATCTATTTGATTTTTTTTAATTTTTTATATAAATGAAATCACTTTAGTGTTTTTTTTTTATTATGGCGGTAAATCACGGTTCAAAGAAATGTCCTGATAATCTTCCTCATTCAATTTTTCGCATTCTTTTTTCTAACCGAGTAAAAGTTGATTTTTGTCGTTGTTATTTTTTATTAAAACTCCCATCGAAATTTAATGATAGTAAATATCATTCGTTAAATGATTATAATCCAAAAAATCCTATAAAACCACATCGATTTTATCATCTTTTATCATATAAGAAACCTGTTAATTATTTAAATTCCTCAAAAAATTTATTGTTCAATAAACGGTTTCATGTTCGTACCGGATATAATATATCAAAAGAAGATTATCAAATTTTAATAGGAAAAAATTTAATTATAAAAGCTAAACCAATTGAAAAAGAAAAGAAAGAGGATTATAATAGTTTATTTCTTTTATTTTCAGCTGCAGAAGTTCTTGGATTGTTTGAACGGGATTTTAAAAATAAAAAAATTTATATTAAAAGTGATAATTTTCGTGGTGAAATAAATTATAATAATATTAAAAAACTTCAAGAATTAGTTAATATTCAGACAATCAGAGAAGGACCATATATTGAGGAATTAATTAAGAACTCTTGGCAATTGGATAAAAGTTTTAATCCTCGTAAATATATTCAGAAAAAATGAGTCGTTTAAATAAACTTATCGATGCTTCAAATAAATTAAGAGCGAATGTTGATACAGTAGCGGTCATAAGTATCCGACCGCCCGAGATCGTCCAAAATTATTATATAACTACCCCTTAAATTTTCC